CTCCCAGGACCTGTATACTCATTCCAGTCTGTGGCAAATTTGAGCACTTCACAGTGCCACAAGATGAGCAAATACAGAGAGCAGCCGATGTCCACTTCAGATAGAGAGAATAAGAGCTACCAACGTTTCCAAGTGAGTGCGAGAGGGAAACAAACGGACAACCCCCCACCTTGCTTCTCTCTGCAATGCGCTCTTCAATGTGGTCGATGTTGTTGGCTCGATCAGCACTCGCACGAATGCGGTATGGTGCTGGAACAGCATGGACAAACGGGCGGAACGCATCGCGCTAGCCCGGTACACGGCACTCTTGAGATATGAGAAAAGAGCGAGGCATCTGACTTACCCATTCGCGCTCAGGGACGCCAGACCATTCTCGACATAGGCGTTTGAGTGCCTCGTCTTCCACAGTGCGGCGGCTACCTGCGCCGGGATTGAAGAGCAGGTCAACGAATTCATCTGGGCCTCTGGGCTCGCATTCTAGAGCATATAGGATATGCTCTAGTCTGGGATCTGGGATGTCAGATGCCGCCGGCTGCTGGGGTTGAGGGTGTTGCTGCCGAGAGAGAATCTCATCCATTTGATTAGGGCGAGGTGGTGAAAGAGAGAGCGAGCGAGCAGGACTTGGCATGGCAGGTGAGCTAAAACGGCTCTGGAAGCCCCCAGGAGTAGGAGAATGAGGCGGAGAGACAGACCGTTGGCGACTGAGAACAGCATGGATGTCAGGGGCAAGGCGAGTGAGAGCTGTGCAAGTTCGGTTACGAGCGAGGCGAACAGCAAGAGATGCAGAAGGTGGAAGGCGATCAAGAGAGGAAATCCGGCCTTGGATGCTGAGAATGTCGTTCAAGAGAGCATCTTCGCGGGCAACAAGAAGGGCGTCCAGGGACATGACAGTCAAGAAACAAGAGACGGGCTCGGTGACATCACTGGCAAGTGCATCCAAGAGCGGGAAGCGCCGTCGACTCGCGGGAGTGGGCGCAGGCGATAGACAACGAACGAGCGGGTCGATGCCCGACGCGCCTGAATCGAATACGGGGCCACAGGTCTACCCAGCTTTCATAGACATATTATTTTCCTATTTATATATCTGCCCCATGGCTGAGTTGGTTACAGCGTCCGACTGTTACTGTATTCGGAAGTTCTTTCCTACGGTTGGCATCGGAAGGTCGAGAGTTCGAACCTCTCTGGGGCAGTGTTTTTATTCCATCAGGCTTGGGCCTGAATTCAGGCGCCGCCTGTCGGTCCGCGAGAGCGCGATCGCATTCGTTCTTGTCGCTGTTCGTCCGGTTGTTGTCTGTAGTCTTCTTGTGCACTTTTCGTTATCTGGATTTACTTCAGGATGGTTGGAACCAAGGGCAAGAGAAAGAACGATCAAGTGGAGCAGGTGCCTGAGGAAGCCGGCAGTACCACCAAGAAGGCAAAGACGTCGCGCCCTCGCAAACCTTCCCGCGTCCAGTTTGCCAACGATGAAGACGTGGTGAAATATATGCACGTTGAGTACCCTTTTTCGCTGCGTGACCGGTATTGAGAGAGTATATGCGTAGAGCCCAACTGAACCCCTCGATCATCAATGGCTTCTTCACGCATTTGCAAGGTGTTCTTGCGCTTCAAAACGAACGCATTCAGGACGATAGCACGCAAAACTCAGGTAACTCTAGTGTACCCCAACGCAGCAGGATGACTGATGGCGTTCAGAGTTTCCGCAAGGACTGCAGCCCGCTCCTCCGAGTGTCGATCAAAACACCATGTGCGCCGTGGCTTCGATGTCTTTACCCACCGTGCCTCTCAACGGAGGCTTTGACTCGACAATTATGGCGCATACAATCAGCTCGGAGCTGCCTGTAACCCCCTCCTTGGCTGCGTATCCCTGCGGTGAACTGGTGCCAGATATCTCTGATTACTGCGCTGGGTTGTCTGCTTGCCTGCCGGCCACCGAGTCCGTGGACGAACCCTCTGTGGTCTACTCTATGGCCAGCGACGAGCCTCCCCCCACGGGAAGTGCAATCCAAGCCATCAACCCTTTGTCTGTGTACGAACCTCCTGCGTTTTGTCCTACTGGGCGAGCGATGCAGGGGACGAGCGCAATCACTGCGAGCACAAGTTTCGAGGCGCATACATCCATCTCATGGCAAGGCACTGCTGCGCCTGTGGACTATCTGAATGAGCCCATCTGGTCTGTGTGGTCTTAGGGTGTTCCGAACCTGAACAAGGTAGTGCAACTCGTGTGTGTATTATTAGAGACGGTGTGTGTATTATTAGAGACGGTGTGTGTATTATTAGAGACGGTGTGCGTATTGTCCGAGACGGTGTGCGTATTGTTAGAGACGTCAAGTATGCTATTATGGCCGTTCATTGGTGGGATTTGGCACCGGAACATCAGATAATAAAGGTGAATGTGCGAGGTCGACGACACTGGCAATCCACGCAGATAGGTCAGACTCCAAACGTGCTGCCGTCTGAGGGTCTACAGTCTCGAGTGATGTCTGTGAGGGGCACACTGAGATTGAGCATAGTCCAGAATGAGGAAACGCACGGAGAGCATCAACTGAGCCAAGGATGCGGCATCCATGCGTGCAACGAGTTGATAGAACAAAAGCACTTGGTCGTTATAACTCCACTGCAGGTGTGAATCATCGGACACTGCGTGCTTGTAGGGGCGGGCGAGTCGTGCAGCTCGCCGGTACTTTTCCTCAATTTCAGCCTCTGTCTCTGTGGGCGCGCCTTGGTGTCGGTGTTGAGCCGCGCGACTGGCTATGTTATGCTCGAGCGCAAGTTGTCTGTATCGAACTTTGTCTGTGCATGATCCTAACACGCAGTGTTTGCGGACAAGATGAATGGTGCTCGCGCTGGCAACAACGGGCTGGATCAGCAAAATGTTTATCAAGGGGTACAGGCATCATACCTGAATGAGCAATTGGCCGACGGACACTTGAACGTGTGTTCGTCCGTTGTGAGCATCTCCAGTTCAAGCTCGTACCAAGGGGTGTGGAGAGCGCTAGAAAGGTGTTCAGTATGCTGTGTAGGTGAAGTGGTTCAGAGTACGCACAGATGACGCTCAAGATGGCCGCGAGTGATCACGGTGGTAACCACAAGACTTGGATGACGCTCCGCTGCTCGAGCACAGAGAGGGCACATCCACTGTTGGCCGCAATGCTGTGAGAATGATCCATTAAGAGCGATGACTGGATGCAACGTGTGGACACTTACATCGTACCAGTTTTGCCACTCTCGCTCACGGGCAATTGGGGCCAAGATGTAACGGGCCAGCGCGATGCGCATGTCATCGCATCCGATCTGAAGAACCTCAGCCTCTGGCTCATCATCCATGACGATCATCTCCGAGTCAGTGAGAAAAGGCAAGTCGGTATCGTCACCGGCATCCTCTGCGGATGCTGCTGCCTTGCCCTTTGCGCTGGCTGTGGGATGCACTTTTTTACTCTTTGGTTTGGGCTTCTGCTGTACTCCTCGTGCAGCATCGTCTCGTCGGAGAATGTCGGACAATTGAGTTAGCTGTAATGCGCCGTCCTCTTCTGCTTCCCATTCATCCGCACACTCGCCTTCTGGTTCTGCTATCACAGGGAAGCTGTCGTTGATGTTTTTCAACCAAGCTGCCCACTCTCCCGCCGAGGCCGCGTTGATGGGTGGTGGCGGAATCTGCATGTGAGAAGACGATTCTGTGGGCGCCACGGCACCTGCCACAGGTGCCATAGTATATACATCAGCGGGCATTCACCGCAGAGTCCCATATGTCTGTTACCTGCTGTGAAATTACATGCGGCCTGCAACACGGCTGATTGTTGCGTCTTGAGTGCATCCAAGCTTGCGAACCTTGCCTCCATCGTGTCGGCTGCCCGTCCCTCTTGAAATTTTGCAGCATTGTGCTGACGACGCTTTGCCGTTGTTGCCTTCCTGCGGATTGCCCGCTGCATCTTTTCATTTTGCTTGCAAAGTGCAATGTAGCGAGCCTTTACCTGGGAGGAACGATCAACGGCATGACCACCCTGCCACGCAAGCCCACTTACCACGTCCACATTGGGGTTGATGACCTTGTGCCGCTCCAGCTTCGAAATGTTTTCACGACAAGGCTTGTACGGCTCGATGGACTCCTTGCGCTCGACCGCGAAGCAGTTGGCTAGATCCTCCCATGCGTGGCTCATTTCCGCACGAACAGCAATGAGCTCAGGGATGTTCTGGTCAAGCATGAGTATAATCTCCAATGCATAGTGC